TTTGCTCATCTTGATAGGTTTGCTTTTGCATGGCTCTACAGAGGGCTGTTAGATCTTTGCTCATCTTGATAGGTTTGCTTTTGCATGGCTATACAGAGGGCTGTTAGATCTTTGCTCATCTTGATAGGTTTGCTTTTGCAGGGAAAACTTAAAAGTTTTTCTGATAACCACATGGATAGCTCTGGTCTCCATGGTGTAGTGGTTAGGCTCTTTGAAGTTGCATGCAGGAAATGTGTGTTCGATTACGCTGTGCGTCATGATTTCAGTAATAGTTTAAATGTGCTTCTTGTTTTTCCAGACTACATCTCGGTTGTTTTTTTCTGTGTGTAGATCCTGCTTTGTTTCTGTCTGTCTTGCTTTGTTGCTGTCTGTCTTACTTTGTTTCTGTGTGTTTGTTTTGTGTCTGTCTACCTTGCTTTGTTTCTGTCTGTCTTGCTTCGTGTCTGTTTACCTAATTGTCTTCCTTAAGAGTACACCGTTTGTTTGTCCCCCCCACCCAGGCACCATCACGTGCAGCAGCCCCACAGCTAGCCCGGCAGACGGACTCATCCAGTTTGGCGCCAACAGACGTGCGCGGTCGGCCACCTGGGCCTACCACTTCTACCCTGACGAGCCGTACGTGGAGCTGACCGTACACCTGCCCTTTGCCGTGCTGCTCAAGTATGTGCACATACGCCCTCATGGATCAGCCATCGCCAGTAAGTGACACAGACACAGGCTCACCTCACAAAACTTTGCTTCTAAATGTATTTTAGACTGTTGGGTTGTTTTTTCTTTAGTTAACAGCAGAAAGATTATGTAGTTGCGGTAGGGTTCACGTTGCCCATTCCGCGCCACCAGTGGCTACTGGCTATAGTTGTCTAATCGCTGTGCCTTTACTAAGAGGTCCACGGTCAGAAGGCAAGTCAGGCATTCCGCTCGGTCCATCCCTGCACCCAGACATTCTCAAACTGGCTTGTATCTTCTCAACCACAGAGGGTGTGTTGATAAAGACAAAGAGTCTACATAACAAGAGGGGCCACTCCTCTCTTTGAGCCTATTAAAAAAGTGTCCTCAAAATTCGGTGGCGCCCCCTTCGCAAAATCGCACCTTTTGCGAACAGAGTTATCCTTCTTGAGTTTAAAAAATCAAAGTGAAACTAGCAAGTTTTTGGATAAATTTAGGAAGGGCGCTTTTTAAAAATTGTTACGCAGACAAAAAACCTCTTCCGGAGGAAAGGGTGATTGTTTTCTTCGTTTAATTTGACTTTAGAATGAAAGGCGAGAGGTCATTAAAAAAACAACTAAAACTCCGCACTGAAGAAACCCGAACTGCTGATGAACAGCAATCGATCTGCGCACGCAAGGAGGTGCTATTCCTATTCTTCTTCTTGAAAAACGAAAGAGAGCTTCAAAACAGACTGCAGAGCCATCTGAAGCAAAGAGCGGACTTCCGGCGGACACTTTTTTGGCTGAGTGGCCCATCTTGTTATGTACTGTCTTTGATAAAGAGCAGTAGTGTTAGGCAGATTAGACACCCACTCAAGGGAGAGTAGGGGTGTGTTAGTGAGGAGCATAGCGTCTTCCACGCATCGGTGGGTTCTGCCTCCTGCACCTCATGGGGCCACACCTGCTCCCATCCTGTTGTTTAACCCCTCTAAGAAACGGCGGGTTGGTTTGTTGGCGCCAACAACTCGCCATTCGCCAGAGCCGTGTCAGTGAGGACAGGGACCACCACGGGTAGGTACGGTTGGCTGGATTGGGAGAAGCTGTGAGAGATGCTTAGGCATTTCTCAATATTTTAATGAGACCCATCACCAGTCCTTGATCCCCGTTGCTAGTCTGGAAAACTCTCTCTCTAAACTAAAACTGAAACTAAACAACTCTATTTGGCCTCGTTAAATAGCAGCCGTGAAGACCTCTTTGTTTGACGTAGTTCCCACTGTTCCCACACATGGTCAGGAGGGGTCAGGGGGACTCTTGTGGCCTAGGGGTTAAGGTGTTGGCCTCTCATTCAAAAGGTCCCGGGTTCGAATCCGGGTAGCGACCGAAAAATTTTCTTCTCTAAAATTGTCTCCTTTCACCTCCTTTCCTGCTCTCTAGCAAAGTTCTGTTGTTTGCTTTCATTTCCACTTTCTGCCCCCACCCCCTCACCTCCTTTGCCCCCTCCTCTGGGCTCCTGACTCTTTCTGCAGCTTTTCTATTGCTACTCCTTGGCTCCATCTTACTGCTGTCTTTCAGCCACACCCCTGAACTTCTGGTAGGAAAGATCTACACCTAGCCTTCTCGGACAAGGGTGAAAAATCTCGGAGGGCCCGTGTGCAAGTTGCGCAAGTTAAAGATCCCTTGGTGGTCTAAAATCGATAAGAGTAGGCTTCGGCCGCCACCCGGGCAAAATTCCAAATTTCCTACCAACTGAAAATATTAGGAGTGTCCCGCGCGCTCATATAACCTTATGCAGTTGCGAGCGCCGTAAAACACTTTACAAAAACAAAACAAGGAGGGGTCAGAAACTGGATGGTCCTACTTCTGTCCCTTCCCTTGCTTGCTTCTGTCCATCTTGCTTTTCCCTGCACACAATAGTTGTTGAGTTGTTCTCCTCAGTTGTTGAGTTGTTCTTCTCAGTTGTTGAGTTGTTCTCCTCAGAGCTACCATCATCCCTAACATGAAAGGGGCTTAAGCTGTGGCTGTTTGTAAGGTGCCTCTGGAAGGTCCCTACATTTTCCTGTCACTTTGTTGTTTCTGTCTGTCTTTTCTTTTCCCCAGCACCAAATGACTGCCACTGTGTAGATGGCTTCCCTTTATTTACTCTGTCCTTCTGTCTATCCTATTCCCTTTCCTAAATGACTGTTATAATGTCCATGTACTTCTCAGTACTCGCACACAAATCATGCCTACTTCTGTTATTCTTTTTACTGTTTAAATGTGATTTGCTCCTGCTTTCCTATAACAAATCTGTCGTTTTAATCTTTCCTACTCCTATTGTTTGTATGTTGCTATCTTGTAACACCTCTAATGTCCCAAACTTATATGACCTTATTGTGTTGCAAGTGCTGTAAAACTCTAACTTAGAGTAAACAACTGAAGTTAATTCCTGTGCGTATTGTTTCAGCTTGCCCGTCTCAGGTGAGCCTGGAGCTGTCCCACGACGGGACGACCGTGTGGCCCGCCAGCCCTCCGCTGGTCACCTCCAGCCTCTCTCTCATTCGCCTGCAGCTGCAGAAGCCAGCGGTGGTCACTTCGGTCACTCTGATCCTGCACAGACCCCTGGACTCCATGACCATCGGCCTGCAGAAGATCTCACTGTGTGGGCAGACGGCTTTTGCCGAGAGCTCCGAAAACACGCCGGCCTTACTCAACGAGGACTGCTTCTCTCACTCCAGGTATGTCTCCTTCTCTCTATCTCTCCTCCAACTCAATGAGGACTTTCTCTCACTCCAGGTATGTCTCCTTCTCTCTATCTCTCCTCCAACTCAATGAGGACTTTCTCCTACTCCAGGTATGTCTCCTTCTCTCTCTCCTTCCTCCAACTTAATGAGGTCTGCTTCTCTCACTCTAGGTATGTCTCCTTCTCTCTCTCTTCTCACTCATTGTCTCACTTCATGAGGACTGTCTTTCACTCTCTAGGAATATCTCCTTCTCTCACTCCTCCACCAACTTCATGAGGACTGTTTTTCTCTCTCTAGGAATAGCTCTTTCTCTCCTTCCTCTCACTTCATGAGGACTGTTTTTCTCTCTCTAGGAATATCTCCTTCTCTCCTTCCTCTCACTTCATGAGGACTGTCTTTCTCTCTCTAGGAATATCTCTTTCTCTCATTCCTCTCACTTCATGAGGACTGTCTTTCTCTCTCTAGGAATATCTCCTTCTCTCCTTCCTCTCACTTCATGAGGACTGTCTTTCTCTCTCTAGGAATATCTCCTTCTCTCCTTCCTCTCACTTCATGATGACTGTCTTTCTCTCTCTAGGAATATCTCTTTCTCTCATTCCTCTCACTTCATGAGGACTGTCTTTCTCTCTCTAGGAATATCTCTTTCTCTCCTTCCTCTCACTTCATGAGGACTGTCTTTCTCTCTCTAGGAATATCTCTTTCTCTCCTTCCTCTCACTTCATGAGGACTGTCTTTCTCTCTCTAGGAATATCTCTTTCTCTCCTTCCTCTCACTTCATGAGGACTGTCTTTCTCTCTCTAGGAATATCTCTTTCTCTCCTTCCTCTCACTTCATGAGGACTGTCTTTCTCTCTCTAGGAATATCTCTTTCTCTCCTTCCTCTCACTTCATGAGGACTGTCTTTCTCTCTCACTCCTTTTTCTCTATTGTTCTGTGGGTTAACGACCCACATAATTAACCGTGTAAATGTCCACATTTTTCTCTGAGCCATTTGGGTGGTTGGCGAGTGCTCTTGTGTGGTTTGCTCCTTCTTTCCTGTCAAACGTCTATCGTCCTTATCTTTCCTCTTTTTTTTCTTGGTATGTTACTCTCTAGTAACACCTATAAACTTCAGCACATATATGACCTAATTGTGTTGCAAATGCCATAAAACTTACTAAAACCATCATAAAATAAAAAAGGAGTTACTGTTCTGTTACTGAAGGGTATGCTTTTTGATTTCTGATATCTTGCCTTTATCTTTCATCTTCTTTTATCTCCTCCTCCTGCTCTTTTTCTTCCTCTGCCTCCATCGTCCTTATCTCTCCTCCTTTTCTTTGTATGTAACTGTCTAGTAACGTCTATAGCATTTCGACATATATATATCACCTGTTTGTGTTGCAAGTGCCATAAAACTTACTAAGAAAGAAAAAAAAAAAAAGAACCAACTGCTCTGTGAGTGAAGGACCCACATTGTTCTGTGAGTAACCCC